TAGTGAGTACTAGTGTAGAGTACTGTAGTACTAGTGTAGAGTACTGTAGTATTAGTGTAGAGTACTGTAGTACTAGTGAGTACTAGTGTAGAGTACTGTAGTATTAGTGTATTAGTAGTAGTACTAGTACTGTAGTACTAGTGAGTAATAGTGTAGAGTACTATGGTAACAGTGCACAGTCCTATAGGAGCCAATACCAGATGCACAGTGTTATACTGGTGTTATACTGGTGTTGTACTGGTGTTATACTGGTGTTATACTGGTGTTGTACTGGTGTTGTACTGGTGTTATACTGGTGTTGTACTGGTGTTATACTGGTGTAGTACTGGTGTTATACTGGTGTAGTACTGGTGTTGTACTGGTGTTGTACTGGTGTTATACTGGTGTTGTACTGGTGTTGTACTGGTGTTGTACTGGTGTTGTACTGGTGTTATACTGGTGTTGTACTGGTGTTGTACTGGTGTTGTACTGGTGTTGTACTGGTGTTGTACTGGTGTTATACTGGTGTTATACTGGTGTTGTACTGGTGTTGTACTGGTGTTGTACTGGTGTTGTACTGGTGTTATACTGGTGTTATACTGGTGTTATACTGGTGTTGTACTGGTGTTATACTGGTGTTGTACTGGTGTTGTACTGGTGTTGTACTGGTGTTATACTGGTGTTATACTGGTGTTGTACTGGTGTTGTACTGGTGTTGTACTGGTGTTATACTGGTGTTATACTGGTGTTGTACTGGTGTTGTACTGGTGTTGTACTGGTGTTATACTGGTGTTATACTGGTGTTATACTGGTGTTGTACAGGTGTTGTGTGAGTTTCTCTGAAGAGAGAGAAACATGAAGAATGTGATGTTATCACTGTGTTTGTGTGTTTGCTACAGTTTAGTTTATCTTTTAAATGTTGGCCGTCGTTTGAGGACGTTTTTATTGATAATAAAGGTATTGTTTATTTGGATGAAACAAATCTGGGCTAAAGCTGAAGCAGAAGGTTCAGTGTTTGATGTAAACAAGAGGAACCCTCGGGCTCTCCCAGGTCTGACCCAGAGGGAGTAATAATACTAATGCATGTGACGCACATGAGCAAGGACTGGACTCTCTCCAGACAAGAGTCCAGACTCAGACTTAGACTCAGAAGAACCAGACTCAGACTCAGACTCAGAAGAACCAGACTCAGACTCAGACTCAGAAGAACCAGACTCAGGCTTAGACTCAGAAGAACCAGACTCAGACTCAGAAGAACCAGACTCAGACTCAGACTCAGAAGAACCAGACTCAGACTTAGACTCAGAAGAACCAGACTCAGACTTAGACTCAGAAGAACCAGACTCAGACTTAGACTCAGAAGAACCAGACTCAGACTTACACTCAGAGAAGAACCAGACTCAGACTTAGACTCAGAAGAACCAGACTCAGACTTAGACTCAGAAGAACCAGACTCAGACTTAGACTCAGAAGAACCAGACTCAGACTTAGACTCAGAAGAACCAGACTCAGACTTAGACTCAGAAGAACCAGACTCAGACTTAGACTCAGAAGAACCAGACTCAGACTTACACTCAGAGAAGAACCAGACTCAGACTTAGACTCAGAAGAACCAGACTCAGACTTACACTCAGAGAAGAACCAGACTCAGACTTAGACTCAGAAGAACCAGACTCAGACTTAGACTCAGAAGAACCAGACTCAGACTTAGACTGGCAAGAGCTCTGGTGTGTGTCGTCTCTGTCTGGCGCACACCGGGGTAGTCTTGCACAGTTTTTCCAATGTGGTTTTACTGCAAATGGCAAATAAATGAATCTGAATCTGAATCTGAATCTGACTCAGAAGAACCAGACTCAGACTTAGACTCAGAAGAACCAGACTCAGACTTAGACTCAGAAGAACCAGACTCAGACGTGTGGACAGATCTGTAGAGTCTGAGGTCTGTGCAGAGCTGTGAGAGTCTGTAAAAGTCTGTAAATACAGGGTCATATCAGGAAGTACTCACCTCCAACTAAACATGGGGAGATCTTATACTTGCTTCTTTATTTTTCTAAAGCTACAGATGTTATTTCAGTATAGCAGTGGTTATAGTTCATCTAGTGGAACACTGACATGTCAGAAGCGCTGACACGTTCTTCCTGCGGATCTATTCAGGTGACGGAGGTCGCATGCAAACTTGCGACCAAACTCTTTTTATCGCTTTTGATCAATATTTGTGACGCAGACGCAGACGCAGCCACACACCGCGCAGGTCCGGTGCAGCTGACCGCGCAGGGCTCCTCTCCCTCGGCTCTGAAATGCTAAACTCCGCTGTTCTGTAAGTGTAAAATAAAGAACCAGAGCTGCTCCCGGGGCTGTGTTTGCCTCTGCAGCGGTGTGGAGTGCCCTGAGACCGGCTGTAGGTGTCCCCTGTCCCGCTGTAAGTGACCTGTGCCGTGGAGCGAGTTCATGACGCACACATTACGCACGGAGCAGAGTTCACGTCACCTGCTGTTCCCTGCTGTTACCTGCTGTTCCCTGACCGGTCTAGGGGGTCCTCCTCTTCGGGATGGGCCTCGGACTCTCCCCGCTGAGCCTGGAGCCTGGAGCGGGGCATGGGTGAGGAGAGCACCCGTGGGAGGGCACCCGTGGGAGTTATGGGATTTTCATTAGCGTGACTTCTATTTAAAGAGACAGTGCTCCAGGACAAGCACAGGGAGATGTGGCTGCAGGCCCAGGATGCGGTGAATGAGTCCAACTAACATGTCAAATATGGGATCACACAGTAAATATGATAGCCACAGCAGCAGAGGTGGAGTAGCCTCTGGGTGGAGCAGGACGGGTCACAGCAGCAGAGGTGGAGTAGCCTCTGGGTGGAGCAGGACAGGTCACAGCAGCAGAGGTGGAGTAGCCTCTGGGTGGAGCAGGACAGGTCACAGCAGCAGAGGTGGAGTAGCCTCTGGGTGGAGCAGGACGGGTCACAGCAGCAGAGGTGGAGCAGCCTCTGGGTGGAGCAGGACGGGTCACAGCAGCAGAGGTGGAGTAGCCTCTGGGTGGAGCAGGACGGGTCACAGCAGCAGAGGTGGAGCAGCCTCTGGGTGGAGCAGGACGGGTCACAGCAGCAGAGGTGGAGTAGCCTCTGGGTGGAGCAGGACGGGTCACAGCAGCAGAGGTGGAGTAGCCTCTGGGTGGAGCAGGACGGGTCACAGCAGCAGAGGTGGAGTAGCCTCTGGGTGGAGCAGGACGGGTCACAGCAGCAGAGGTGGAGCTTGGTAAACAGACTCCTGCATCAGAGGAAAAACTTACAAGAAAACCCAGTGGGAAAAAGTGAGAAACCTCAGAGAGACCCATGGTTTGAGAAAGGATCCGCTCCCACGGACGGGCTGTAGACTGAACTGGACTGGACTGAACTGGACTGGACTGGACTGGACTGGACTGGACTGGACTGGACTGGACTGGACTGGACTGAACTGGACTGGACTGAACTGGACTGGACTGGACTGGACTGGACTGGACTGGACTGGACTGGACTGGACTGGACTGGACTGGACTGGACTGGACTGAACTGAACTGGACTGTACTGAACTGAACTGGACTGGACTATACTGAACTGGACTGTACTGAACTGAACTGGACTGGACTGTACTGGACTGAACTGTACTGGACACAGGAACAGTTTTTTTGAATTTATTTTATTTATTCATTTATTTGACAGGGACAATGTAGTCATACATAGTTACATTATGAAAATGCAGCTGATGCGACACATACAGAGTGTATAGCTAATGCTAATGCTAATGCTAATGTTCTCTCCTGTCCCTGGTTGAGCTTTTCCCCACAGTGCGACACATTATACAGAATGAATAAAATAGGCCTAGCCCTAAAACACATATTTACAACAGTGATCTTAAGACATTCCACCAATAACAGCCATATGGACAAAATATTCACAAACGAGAACACTCACACACACACACACACACACACACACACACACACACACACACACACACACACACAAAATACTGTTTACAGGTTTAGAAATGGGGGCATGATTGGTTTGTTTTCAGCCACAGCTTGAGCTTTGAGGTGAACTCCTTGAATTCTAATATGTTTTTTAGGTCAGTGGGCAGCGAGTTCCACAGTTTGTATGTTTTTATGGAGAAAGCAGACTGACCAAATGAGGTTCTCCTGTGCGGGATTGCACAGTTGTTGTGGGATGTACTTCTGGTGACTCTGTTGCTGGTCTGTCTCTGTATAAATGAACTTAGTGGCTCTGGTGCCAGGTTATTGATGCATTTGAATGCTAATTTTAGAGAGTACAATAATATCACATTTTCAAAACTCAGTAGATGACAGTTTTTGAGTATATTGCAGTGGTGATATCGGGTTGGTTTCTTGTCCATAATTTTTATAGCTTGATTGTATAATGATCCAATGCACTTTGTGGCTGAGGGAGCTGCTGGGTCCATGCTGTCATGCAGTATGATACTGAGGGAGCTGCTGGGTCCATGCTGTCATGCAGTATGATACTGAGGGAGCTGCTGGGTCCATGCTGTCATGCAGTATGATACTGAGGGAGCTGCTGGGTCCATGCTGTCATGCAGTATGATACTGAGGGAGCTGCCTGGGTCCATGCTGTCATGCAGTATGATACTGAGGGAGCTGCTGGGTCCATGCTGTCATGCAGTATGATACTGAGGGAGCTGCTGGGTCCATGCTGTCATGCAGTATGATACTGAGGGAGCTGCTGGGTCCATGCTGTCATGCAGTATGATACTGAGGGAGCTGCTGGGTCCATGCTGTCATGCAGTATGATACTGAGGGAGCTGCTGGGTCCATGCTGTCATGCAGTATGATACTGAGGGAGCTGCCTGGGTCCATGCTGTCATGCAGTATGATACTGAGGGAGCTGCTGGGTCCATGCTGTCATGCAGTATGATACTGAGGGAGCTGCTGGGTCCATGCTGTCATGCAGTATGATACTGAGGGAGCTGCCTGGGTCCATGCTGTCATGCAGTATGATACTGAGGGAGCTGCCTAGGTCCATGCTGTCATGCAGTATGATACTGAGGGAGCTGCTGGGTCCATGCTGTCATGCAGTATGATACTGAGGGAGCTGCTGGGTCCATGCTGTCATGCAGTATGATACTGAGGGAGCTGCTGGGTCCATGCTGTCATGCAGTATGATACTGAGGGAGCTGCTGGGTCCATGCTGTCATGCAGTATGATACTGAGGGAGCTGCTGGGTCCATGCTGTCATGCAGTATGATACTGAGGGAGCTGCTGGGTCCATGCTGTCATGCAGTATGATACTGAGGGAGCTGCTGGGTCCATGCTGTCATGCAGTATGATACTGAGGGAGCTGCTGGGTCCATGCTGTCATGCAGTATGATACTGAGGGAGCTGCTGGGTCCATGCTGTCATGCAGTATGATACTGAGGGAGCTGCCTAGGTCCATGCTGTCATGCAGTATGATACTGAGGGAGCTGCTGGGTCCATGCTGTCATGCAGTATGATACTGAGGGAGCTGCTGGGTCCATGCTGTCATGCAGTATGATACTGAGGGAGCTGCTGGGTCCATGCTGTCATGCAGTATGATAAATGGGAGAAGATCATGCATGTACAGCAGGGCCGCTTGATTGGGAATAACATGTCTTATTAGTTTGAAACAGTTAAGATTGCGACGTATAGTTTTGGAAAGTTTTTGTATATGTTTATCAAATTTTAGTTGTGGATCTACAACCAACCCGAGGTAGTTGAGTTCTGTTATTGTTTTGATTTTTTCATTTTGTAATATGATTTGGAAATTTGGATTTGTTTTTCTAATAGAAAAGCACATGGACACTGTAGCGACAGTAGCTCAGTTGGTAGAGCATTGGCCTTTGGGCCTGAAGGTCGTGGGTTCGAGCCCACCATAAGACCTACTTCACGACTCCCACTGATGACTGCTGTCGTTGTGTCCTTGGGCAAGACACTTAACCCCACTTTGCCCAAAGCCCCCACTGAAAGTTCTCAGCTCCTGTGGACTCAGCACCTGCAGGAGGATCAGTGAGGGGCTGGTGCTCTGACTGCCACCCCCCGACCCAGAAATGGATTAAGGGGAAGAAAATGGATGGATGGATGGATGGACGCTGTTTTGGTCAGATTTAAGACCAGGTGATTTTGAGTGAGCCACTTGCTCACCTCAGCCATACATGCAGATAACACGTCTGCTGCCTGCTCCGGGGTCTTTGCGGGGGCATAAAAAACAGCATCATCTGCATAGAGTTGGCACATGACACCTGGGCAGGATGATGGAAGGTCATTTATGAAGAGACTGAAGAGCAAAAGTCCTATTATGGATCCCTCTGGAATGCCCATTTGTGGCTTTAAAAGTACAGATTTATTTTTATCTATTTTAACGCATTGTGGTCTGGTCTGGAGGTAGGATGTAAACCTCTGTTGCGTTTGGTGAGATGTTGAAAGAGGACATTTTAGACAGGAGTAGATTGTGGTTTACAGTCTCAAAGGCTTTTTTCAGATCCAGAAAGACTGCCCCCACCACTTCACCTCTGTCCATGGACATTTTCAGATTTTCAATAAAACAGCAGTTGGCAGTTTCAGTGGAGTAACCTGCCCGAAAGCCAAACTGCTGTGGGTGTAGAAGGTGGTGGGCCTCTAGGTGGTCAGTCAGCTGAGTGGCTACAGTCTTTTCAATCATTTTGGACATAGTTGGTAAGATAGCAATGGGCCTGTAGTTAAGACATATTGTCCTGTGCTCCTGATTTAAAAATTGGGACAATAACTGCTTTTTTCCACACTTCAGGGAATCTGCAAGTTCTAATTGAGAGATTGATAAGATGTGTCAAGGGTTTGATTAGTGCAGTCTGATAGCTTTTTAGGAAGCAGGTGTTCATATTATAAATGTCATTTGATTTCGAGTTTGATAAATTTGCTATAATTCTTGTTCTTGTTTTTTCATCAATTTCCAAGATTTGGAAACACTGCATCTATTGTCGGGCCTGGATCTGAGAGTTTGCAGGCCTCGAAATGACTAGTTATTTCTTTTATTGATTGGACAAAGTGGTTGTTAAACTCATTGGCAATGGTGGCACTGTTGGTAATCCTGTTGCCATTTATTGTGATTTGCATAATTTCATTGTGGTTTGTTTTGTTATTAGTCAGATTGTTTAAATGTTTCCAAAGGGAGTTATTATTCCCTCTGGAGTTGCCCGAAGTCATAGCTGTTGTTCCTTGTTTCCACTTTAACCTCCTGCTGAAGGGGTTGTCTTCATGTGACATCACAACATGTGACATCACAACATGTGACATCACAACATGTGACATCACAACATGTGTCTTCATGTGACATCACAAGGCTCCACTGGAGGGTTTCTCTTCAGGAGAGAGTCCCACATCTTCTTCTTCATTACAACGGCAAAGATCTACTTTCTTCTTCAGCGGTGTCTGTCGTCATGGAGACAAGATCAAAAAGAAACCAAAACCACAGCAGCCAAAACTCTTCAATAAAGTTTATTTGTAAAAAATATATTAATATTAATAACAATCGACATCATGAGACAGTGTTGCACATGTGTTTAAAGGTACAGATTAAAGGTACAGATTAAAGGTACAGATTAAAGGTACAGATTAAAGGTACAGTTTAAAGGTACAGATTAAAGGTACAGTTTAAAGGTACAGATTAAAGGTACAGTTTAAAGGTACAGATTAAAGGTACAGTTTAAAGGTGGAGATTAAAGGTACAGTTTAAAGGTAAAGTTTAAAGGTAAAGTTTAAAGGTACAGATTAAAGGTACAGATCAAAGGTACAGCTGACTGAAGCTACAGCACGAGAACATGAAGGAGTAACTTCAGAGACATTTTATCATAAATAATGTTCATTTTCTCAAAACACAAAAGATTCTTTTGTTTTTAATAAAACGACCAGAGAGAGACCAGAGAGAGAGACCAGAGGGAGACCAGAGAGAGAGACCAGAGAGAGACCAGAGAGAGACCAGAGAAACCAGAGAGAGAGACCAGAGAGAGACCAGAGAGAGACCAGAGAAACCAGAGAGAGAGACCAGAGAGAGACCAGAGAGAGACCAGAGAGAGACCAGAGAGAGACCAAAGTAAGTAATGTTTATTTATATACCGCCTTTCACAGAGTCACAAAGCAGTTTACAATTGTTATTTTTTTTTTTTGGGCATTTGTCTCTCACTCCACACAGAGATGGGAGGGGCCAGTACAGGAGGCGCATGCCAGTCCTATTGAACATATTTTTAGTGGTAGAGGAAACCGGAGTACCCGGAGGAAACCTATGCAGACACGGGGAGAACATGCAAACTCCACTCAGAAAGGCCCTGGTCTGACCGGGATTCGAACCCAGGACCTTCTTGCTGAGAGGCGAGAGTGCTATCCACTCAGCCACCGCGCCGCCCAGAGAGATACCAGAGAGAGACCAGAGAGAGACCAGAGAGAGACCAGAGAGAGAGAGACAGAGAGAGAGACAGAGAGAGACAGAGAGAGAGAGACCAGAGGGAGAGACCAGAGAGAGAGAGACAGAGAGAGACCAGAGAGAGACAGAGAGAGAGAGACCAGAGGGAGAGACCAGAGAGAGAGAGAGAGAGACCAGAGAGAGACCAGAGAGAGACCAGAGAGAGAGACCAGAGAGAGACCAGAGAGAGACCAGAGAGAGAGACCAGAGAGAGAGACCAGAGAGAGACCAGAGAGAGACCAGAGAGAGACCAGAGAGAGACCAGAGAGAGACCAGAGAGAGACCAGAGAGAGAGACCAGAGAGAGACCAGAGAGAGACCAGAGAGAGAGACCAGAGAGAGACCAGAGAGAGAGACCAGAGAGAGACCAGAGAGAGAGACCAGAGAGAGACCAGAGAGAGAGACCAGAGAGAGACCAGAGAGAGACAGAGAGAGAGAGACCAGAGAGAGAGACCAGAGAGAGAGACCAGAGAGAGACCAGAGAGAGACCAGAGAGAGAGACCAGAGAGAGAGACCAGAGAGAGAGACCAGAGAGACCAGAGAGAGACCAGAGAGAGAGACCAGAGAGAGAGACCAGAGAGAGAGACCAGAGAGAGACCAGAGAGAGACCAGAGAGAGACCAGAGAGAGACCAGAGAGAGACCAGAGAGAGACCAGAGAGAGAGACCAGAGAGAGAGACCAGAGAGAGAGACAGAGAGAGACCAGAGAGAGAGACCAGAGAGAGACCAGAGAGAGACCAGAGAGAGAGACCAGAGAGAGACCAGAGAGAGACCAGAGAGAGAGACCAGAGATAGACCAGAGAGAGACCAGAGAGAGAGACCAGAGAGAGACCAGAGAGAGACCAGAGAGAGACCAGAGAGAGAGACCAGAGAGAGACCAGAGAGAGACCAGAGAGAGACCAGAGAGAGACCAGAGAGAGACCAGAGAGAAACTACAGCTTTGTTTTGGTTTAGACGTCGGAGAAGAATCCTTCGTTAGCGAAGCACTCGTAGCATTAGCCGACCCGCCGCCATTGTTGTTTACCTTCTACTGCGTCCAAATGTACAAAGTGCTGAGGTCATCAGAGAATTATCACCTTTTTCGTCTGCTCCGCTCTGAGGCTGTTTCTCTACGGTTACATCATAGACTATAAATATTAACAGACGAAGTCAGGTCTATCTCCGCCGTTCTAACTAATGGGCTACAAATTGGGCTCTCATGGAGTTATTCAAAATGGCCGCGGGGGCTGGAAAATGTGAAAAAATGCATTTGTGCATGTGTCAGCTGCACGAGCCCCGTTCATTTAAACGAGAGACTTCTAAAGTCCACAGCGACTAAACTAGACTGGTCCAGAACACTCAGCATTGACACACATGTGGAACGGAGCCACTTTTGGACCATCCTGTAAAGACGTTTTCCAGAGGTAAGAAGATGCTATATGTTAGCATTGGCTAATTCTTATTCCGGGTCCACCCCCACAGGTCTGGGGTGGTACTGCAGCATGTCAGCGCACGTCATTTGGGCCACTTTTGAGCTGAGACCCTCCCCCACTGGTTTACAACTGAAACACCATGTCCGTGGAAATGAA